GTGTTGATTAGCACCTCGTCTGACCTTTTCCGTGAATATTTTATTTCTAAAATTCGTTTAGATCAATTAGCTTAACAAGTAATACATGTGCTAATTCTAAACGATTAAAAGGCTATTAAATTCGGCGAAAAAGATCTAGTATTGTGCAAATGCGTTGAACGATTTCCTTATGCAATGTTGGCAGCTGTGGTTCTTTAATTGTAACTATTTACATTTGAAAAAAGGGGCTGAACAAATACTCATAAACGAAATAGTTCACATACTTCATTAATCACTTCGATTTAAATACGAATCAATTTCGTCAAGTGCATTTCCGTCGATCGACAAAGACTTCGGTTTCTGTTTTGTTTGAAACATCTGCATTGTTTTCTTTTTTGGTTAAGACTAGAATCAGTTCATGGTTAACCTTAAGCCGAATTGTCACGAATGGTTGAATAATTGCTGTAGACATAGATTCGGCTTTCGAACGGTTTAAACTAAATCCAGGTGATTTGAAAGCTGAGAACCGTATGTACTATGGTGACCACAGAGCAAAATGGAAACAGTGGGAGGCTGATATATTTGTGGTTTTGTTGACTGATCGTTTTCTATGTTATTTTCTGTAGGTGAGAAGCCATTTAAGTGTGAATTTGAAGGCTGTGACAGACGCTTCGCCAACAGTAGCGACAGGAAGAAGCACATGCATGTCCATACTTCAGACAAGCCCTATCTATGCAAAATGTGCGACAAGTCCTACACACACCCAAGCTCTCTACGGAAACACATGAAAGTCGGTATCTATTGATATCTATGTGATAAAAGATCACTTGTATTAATATCCAGAAAAGAAAGGACTGATGTGCTGATGGCTTTTCTATGCTCTTGTCTTCCACAGGTCCACGAGTCCTCCCAAGCCTCGGATTCCTCGCCAGCTGCCAGTTCTGGTTACGAATCATCTACTCCCCCGGTCCTGGTTTCTCCATCCACCGAACCCCAAAACAACAACTTATCTCCAGCCTCCTCTGCTGTGCACAGTAACGGTGGCATTTCCTCTAATTTTAATGAATGGTACGTTTAGATATTGCAGGTCCAAATGAGAAAGAGAGTGAGAGAGAGAGCTCAGCGTTTGTGCTGAATTAATTAAAAAGAAAAAAATAATTTAAACAGAACTTTCCCTAAAATGTGTATAAAAGGAAAACGGAGAACGCTATAATCATCATATAAGCAATAGTACCAGAGATTTCGCTGAAGTGAAGATCAAATGTTATTTATGTCCTACTGAACAAACCTTTTGGGTATTTTACAACTTTGTACATAAGGAATTGCTGCCTATCAGCTGAATGATACCTGGGATTCTTGATGTAGATTGTCCATTAAATGGTAGCTATGGATTTCTTTCTCGAGGTGACACACATTTCCTATTAGCGCACAAAATGGAAACAAAAAGGACAAAATAATGATTTCCTTCTCGTTGTATTTTAATGCTGAAAATCTATGTCACCTTTTCAGGGCGACCGATTGTAAAACTTCATGAAATCATATAAAATGGAAACTGTGCCAAAGTCAAGTTACAGTTCACAAACACAGAAACGCAGATAATTGCTTGTGAATGTATTTTTTTCCTGTTAGCTGGGGTTTATCTCGTGATGTTTTGTGCTTTGCAAGTTTGAATTGTGAAATACTATTGGAAGATTGTGAAAAAAGGTTGTGCCGTTAACTTTTGTAACAACGATATTCATTCTGTAAATAACCGCGTTACCATATTTATCCATTTGTAATTAAATTATGGTATTAACTTGCTACAGATGAAACGATATTTATAAAGAATGTTTCTTAACTATAAATATGTACAATTGTGAGTTAAACATGAAATCATTCAGATTTGTTTTTTTTATTTCTAGATAAAGAATGTTTTTCTCATTTCTTGTGCGATGTCCTGAGATCATTAACAGCATACATATATATAATAAAATGTGTTGCAAGTGTAAATGCTGCTGTTATTGTTGCTGTGTTATTATTATTTAAGTTCACCACTGATTTTAGTCTGCATCTTATTTGTTCACATGCCTCGGAGCCATTTTATCTAGAGTTACTAAACGGCATTTCGTTCCACGAACACAATGATATAAAACCACTCACCAACAGTGGAATACCCTTCACTGAGAGGCTTTGCAATGCAAAGTAATTAAACCACTTAGAGTTCTGATAAATCTTTCTAATTACGAAGCATCCCGGCAAAACTAGAATAAACGCATGTTCCCCGTATTCAGATACATAGGGCATATCAATATTTTAGATCTATTTTTCATAATAATTTGCATTGGTGGTTTATGGAGCAGCGCGAAATATAAATATTTCGGCATATAATTCAAAACAGCGACACAGGCCATTCACTTAAATATCAATAGATCTGCATTAATATATATATATATTAGTATTTGGGTTGAGCGTTGTGGTTAATGTAATCGTGGGAGAATTAATCAAGAAAATAATCTAACATGTTAAATGTAATTACTGTGATGCCCTTTCTGAATCATTACAAGATGGGATTTAGTCATAATCGCTTGAACAGCACACACATACACGTATATATATATATATATATATATATACGCACGAATGTAAGCGATAATGTCTGGCTTTGAAGATGGAATTCATTATGCCACAAAACCAGACACGTGTAGGAGGCAGCTTTGTTGTAATTTAAACAACTACACGAAATTGGCACAGATTGGAATCTAAGTTACTGGAGGAGGTTATGAATTCCTTACGCAAAAAAATCTGACAGATCACCGCATCTGCTGCTTGTTACCCAGGCTGGTGGAAAATATTACATTTTTTTCCAAATATGCTAAGAACCTATTCCCATTGAATATCTTGTACATACAATATTGGGCATTTGGAAAGGAGATCTTAGCGCCCTGCGGTGGTTGTGGGTTGCAGCGGATATAGAATAAAATGCGAACATTTTCTAACTTTTTTTCCCCCAAAATCGTAACGAAGCACGTCACTCCCCTTCGTGGCATTGGGAGCTGCTACCGATGTCAGATTTAAAAGCCGAAGATGAGTTAACTTTCAAAACATGACAATTTCCATTAGGCGTTTCTGCCATAATACGCTGCAAACAACACACACAATAAAATGCGCGGTGCCCGAGCGAGTGAAGGCTGACCTGTAGGTGTATTCCACTCGGATACACTTTCCCGCAAAGAGCGAATAAATGGAACCCAACTTCAAACCTGCCGACTGCACGTTTGCTGGGGCTGTTAATAGGCCGATGCATATTCGCCTGAAAACACCCAACATAGCCCTTTATGGAAGTTTTAAAAGAACCCGACAGAAAACCCAGACACATTAAAGCCTTTTAACGTGAGGTGGAAAAGAGAGGCAGAGAACTTGAACTTGACTTTGAGCCAGTCAGTCGGGACTATTCTGGTTGCTTTTGCTTGGACTTCTGGTTAGGACTCAACACATCAATTAAACATTGTTGGAATCGTATATTTGTACGATTCGGAATTTCTGCTCTTGATGTCTGTGTTGCTTAAACGATATGTACGCGGTTAGGCAAATAGATTCGCCTTGAATGTAAATTATTTTGGAGCCGAAGGCTCGAAATTGTAAACGTATCGTTTTCACCCTCCCACCACACGGCCAAATAAACATTTTGAGATTGTGCCCAAAAAAGGAAATTGAACTGCTGAGGGATGTAAGTACTTTTTCCGGTTTTATTCCATCTCTAAATTAAAGCTGTGTTTTTGTGGTCAACGGAAGACACACAGCCTTTTACACTGATGCTAAGTGTTTAAAATACGTTTAAGACGTCGATGGTGAGAATCTACGTTTTTTAAAATTACTTAAAAGAGAATATTAATGTAGTAATTTCAAAATAACACGAGAAGGTTGATGATAATACGCTCCAAGATAGCGACACGTTGCGGCTTAAAGTTTTGCGACTAATTTAAATTCATTATTGAGATAAATATATCGTAATAATTATTAAATATATATCTTAATAAATAAAAGTTTTATGACAATTTGACTCTAAGATCGGATGTTCAGCATTTGTTGCCTCGGAATTGTGTTATTCTTGGCTCTAAAAGGGGTCTAAATGCACCAAGTCACCGAAAGAGTGATGATAGCACTGGAAGAACATTATGATATAATTTAAAATGTAAAGGGGCCGTAAAATGCTCTATAAACTACAGCGAGAGAGCCACCTGAGGGCACAGTGACTGTTGTATTGATAATTACAGGAGGATATGGCTCGTCCCTGTCACTCCAAATGGCAGCTCATAAATTATAAAGCCGACCTAATAAACATTCAATTGTAGTCTTCAAATCGGCAGATTTTACGGCACATTTCAAAGTTGTAAGACAATTTTAAGAGACAATTCTATGTAGACTGCTATTGATAGCCTATCGTATAAAGTTACAGTAAAAAATCATTGATGCATCGGTCTATAAAACTTGGTTGTTTATCTTTTGCGGTTGGAAGTATCGTTTTGTCTCAGAATCAGTTACAAACCCAGAGAGCAAGCAGGAACTTCAAAGACGTGAAATCAAAAAAACAAACTCTACAAATATTCTTTAATACTTCAAAATATTGTACCATTTCGCAATCTATTCTTCGATGCAAATTAAAGCAATGTCTCCAGCCCAATTATATTAAAGTCTGTCGAACACACATTCACTTGGGTTCGTTTAGTGGCGTAACCCTCCAAAATATGCAAACCCGTGTGAGGTGTAAAGCTTTACTTTATATTTTCCAGCCACGTTGCGCGCAGGTACAAGGGTTCATTTCAAAGAAAGTGTAAGCAAATGAGTAGTTTCCAAATGGAAATTAATTGTCGTGCATATACAAAGAGACACGGTAGCATGTTTTAACGATATGCATTAAATGCACATATATTCGTACACAAGGAAGTTTATGTCTACATTTGTCCAGTATTATATTTCCGCCTACGCGTAACATCTTTATGTATGATCATACATACTCAGATTAAATAGCGGTTTGAATAATTAACATAGCTAAACTGGTACAAATACTTAATAGGTAGGAACATTTCTGACTTTTTTTTAAAAAAAGTGAACTGTTTCCAGCATTGATCCTCAAATAATCTTCGAGGATTATGTTCCTACTATATGTGTTTAATTCACTCTCTTTTCTAATTTAGCAGCTGAATACCGCAATCATTAAAACAATATTAATACAGGGTGACCAAAAAGTTGTGATAACTACCTTATTATCTAAACAAAACTCAAAATATCACAATTTATTTAAGACTTATTAGACATTGTAATGGTATCACGACTTTTTGGTCACCCTGTATAAGGACATTGTTTATTAAAGATTAGTCAACTTGATTATGCAATCTTTGTGCCCATTCTGTTATTCTGTAAGTTTAAGATGAACTTCGGCTGAGCAGAATGTGTGCGTGGTGTGAGTCATTTGGTTACTTAAGTTCCCAATTAAAATGATCACAAGCTTGTGTTCGATAGCACACACATTATTTTCAATGGAAGATAAATTAATCTCTTTGACTATTCTATTATGCAAACGCTACTCGTTAATTAAAATGTGACAGTGGTTCGCCTGAAAAATATTACTGGTGCTAATGTGACTTGGGTGGTGGTGGGGGGAACACTTGATTTTCAGCAGAAAGAAAAAAATAGTCCATCGCTTCCTGCTGCCACACGCGATGAATAGGAAAATGAAGCTGTAAAAAAGATAATTATGAAGATGAGAATGGTCAATATAACGCTGATGGTGAAGATGGTGATGATGATGATGATTTGACAACTACAGTAAGGGTCAAAGGACAACCCCATGCAGTGCCCAGATATCTGCTCATTCCTAGCACACGCTGTTATGATATTGATCCATGAAGGAAAATAAACACGAAAGCTATACTGTTTGAGGTGAATACTGATTCTGAGGAATCTGAATTTTTATGTAGCTCTATTGATGCAAAAGCATTATCGATTAACCAAGCCGTATCTTATGTACTGGACTGTTCAAATGTCACTTTTATTGCTTGTATTTTCCGTGAACCTCAATTTATAAATAACGTACTTTAAACTTTGCATTTGAAAACCATGTTTGTCTCACGATTCAAAAGCGTCAGGTGCACCGCACACAATAACCAGCGCACATAAACACTTGGCAGGGTGCTGGGAATTCCTATTACACACAGACAAGACATTGCGCTTTATTGTTATGTTAATGCGTATTTATATCGATGGAAATATTACTGTCACAATGTCATTAATTCCTCAACAGGTATATTTGCGTTCTCTTTATTTGTGAGATTTTATACGTTTTGTTAAAGTACTCATAAGTCTGCTTCTTGCCGTTTTAATATTCTGCAATATTTACAGTTTTGCAGGTTTGGATTTTTTTTTGCAAAGTCACTTTACTCTGTTTGCTACCTCAAAGCTTAACCACATCCTGTACAGGTTTCCAAACACAATTGTATTTGGTTTTTCTATACACACTTAATATATTTCCAACAGTGAACATTTTATAACAGGCTTTCAGCAATATAAAAAAGAAACATCAAGCATCATTGAGGTAGACAGTCCTTTTTGCGGCTTGGACACTGCTGAATTAAATTTACCATTGGTTTGCCTTTACAGTGTTACTCAACAATAATAAAATTAGACCATGTGAAGCGTTAAATGATCAATATCGCTACTTGGTATCACACTTAGGTATCTTCCCTCACAACCTTCCGCGTCCACCTGCAGAGCCCCATCAAGCCCGACAAGTTTGTAGACACTGGCAAATACACCCTCACAATTAAGGTGTATTACTTTGGACGAGATACCGAAATATCAAGTTCATGGTCAAGGTTTCTTGACATTAAATCAAGCAAAAGCGTGCACGTCTCAATAGACATCTGCGTTCGGATCCCTAATCCCTAATTCACCAAATGTTCTGAGAAACATTATTTTTATTCTGCTTATTCGGAGATCATTCTGCTTATTCG